CCTCTCCAGGATAATTCCACTGTCAGCACCAAACTCCTTCAGTGGTGATGTTTGAAGGGTCTAATCCTTCAGCTCAGGCTGTTAACTCTGATCTTTGTCCAAGTTTTCTTCTGTGGCTCCAGCTCACTGACTTTAGTTTGAATAACCACAACATCGTCCACAGACGCAGATATTCACAGCTCAGCCTGTGAAAGCTGTTCCCTCTTCTTCTTCCTCATTCCTGCTAAAACTGAACCCATCCGAGGTTCCAGTTTCTGCAGAGCCGAGTGTTTCAGCAGGAACTGTCTGAAAATTCAGATCAAAAACAGAAAGTCCCCAAGATTTTTTTAATATTGTTAAAAGCTTAAAACAGGAAGTTTACTGATTCGGTTATTTTAACATCTTCATAATTGATCTTTTCCACACCTTTGTGAGTCATCTCCATCATATAAAATGTGTTGCAGGTGATCAGGTAACCATCAGCTGATCACACAAATCAGATAAATCAGATAAATATCAGTGATGTTGGTTTGTGTTTGTGTTGAAGGTCTGGAGAGAAGATCTCCTGTATGGTGGAGCACGCCAGCCTGGAGGAACCACTGATTATTAACTGGGGTAAATACCAGTCTGTATCGACACACCTGTACACCTGCCCGTGTGTCCGTTCACCTGTGTGACTCTCACCTGTGTGTCTTCAGTCCCGCCCATGCCTGAAACAGAGAGACTGATCATCGTTGGAGTCGTAGGACTGATCCTGGGTCTGATCTTGTTTCTGGCTGGAGTCATCTACAGGAGGAAAAGTGGAGGTCAGATCAGCACCCACTGAAACACCAGTTTAAACCAGACTAAAACCAGTTTATCTCAGGCTAAAACCAGGTTAGATCAGATTAAAATTAATTAACACCAGACTATAGTTGCAGCAAAGAAAAGAGAAGCTGTGACTTCCTGAAGCTGATGGAGCTCCTGAAGGCCTTCAGTTTGTCCAGGGTCAGGGTAACTTGGATTGATTGGATCAGTTGGATCGTTGGGTTTAAGTTTTAAGCTTAAAACATAGAACTGTCAATGTCATGTGTATCAGTTCAGCCTGAGCCATCACCTTTGACCTTTGACCCTCGTTCTCTGTGTTGCAGATACATCTTTGGTTCACAGGTTCGGTGAGAAACAGGCAGAGGACTGGAACAAAGATGCTGCAGCTCTGAGCTTGTGGAGACCTCAGAAGGAGATGTTCTTCAAACCCGACTCTGAGCTCTGCTTCACAAATGTTCTGCCTAAGTCAGGTGACTCACTGTTTCTGTGACATCATCAGCTCATCACATGAAAGCTCAGGTGCTCACTGAGGGATCAGCTCCTGACTGAACATGGAGAATAACATGTTCGGGAAAAAATGATTCATAATTCAACTTCATCAGTGGCACATTAAAACTGTGTGAGGGTACCTGGTGTTTCTAGATCTCAGTGAGATGTTTTCTCATGGAGAATAACGTGTTCGGTGTACATGTGGAGGTTTTATAAAAGCACTTTAAGTGAAGACGTCTCAGCTTCTTCTTCATGTGTTCAGCTGCCAACAGCTGGCAGTTTATTATGTGTCAAAGTTTCCCTTCTGTGTTCAGACTGTTTTTATTTTTTATGTTCCAGTGATGCCATTGGTCAGGCTTCACTCCATGACGCCCCCTGGTGGCCGTCATCCTGCCTTGGCGCTCTGCAGAGTCTACGACTTCTTCCCCAAGCAGCTCAAAACCAGGTGTTGCTGCAGGCTGCTTTGATTTATCCTCATGATTTATTTGAATAGATCATAAAAGATTTGTAATCTTTGTGCCGGCACATCTGCTGCTACACACCAGCAGACTGTGGGGACCAGTGTGGAGCTGTTGGTTAAAGCAACACAGGTCCTGTTCTAACGATGAGCCGTCACCTTGTTTTCTCTGTCTGTGCCCCAGGACTGATGCTGGTTCCCAGTAGTGGATCCTGATTGTAGACCTGGAGCTGGTTCTGCTTCTGTCTGACAGCTGGAAGCAAAAGCAGCAGCAGCTGGCAGCTCTGTGTTTGATCCAGGCTGTTTGAGTCAGGCTGAAACTGGACTGTGGTGGATCTACTGGAGCCTCAGTGGTGGAGTCATCATATAGTGTGTGCAGAGTGTTCTCAGAGTCTTTACAGCTGTCTGACAGCAGGAACTGCTCAGGTGAGCTGCCTCCAGGATGGACCTGGTCTGTGCTGGCCGGAGGACAGCGAGGTGTGTGCTGGGAAACTGAGTGTCTGATTGCTGTGTTTGGATGTAAGGCTGGAGGGGGCGGAGCTCTGTGGGTGTTTGTGTGTGTGACTTTCCAGTGTCATCACACACACACACACACAC